TTGAGCCATCAGAAAACGAAGGTATCAGGTGTGGAATTTTCTACTTGGAGCATTATGTGAGCACTCAAAAAGTTTCAGATTTTGGAACGTTCTGGATATTCAGATTAGGGATGCTCAACCTGTAGTATATTTGGCTTATCTCTGAAACATTTCCTTTGGAGCATCCTGCTTAGGGACTCTCACAAACACTAAAAGTTCTTTTTAACTATAGTAACTATTTTCTTTTAGATGATAAAATAATCAGCACATGGTCCCTGGCAGCCTTTCCTTCAAACTGACCTCTTTATTCTTTAAACACTACCCCCTTCTGACAAGGTGTCTTATAGGTCATCTTGATTCTTTTTTCTCCAAATGTGGAACTGCCTATTCACCAAGGTTTTTCTGTAGAAAATAGTGCTAACGACCAAAATCTGGGCACTAGATGTGCACTTCATATTGTTTCACATAAAATATTCAGAGTAGAAAAGAGTGAAGACAGAGCAAGAAAAAATTTTCTTCTTTTAAAAGGGCATATATTTATGTTGGTAGTTCTAATTAACTTCTACCTTTATTTCATCTGTTTAAACCAGTTTTCCCCTTTTCCATTATATGATCTTACTCAATAATGTGTTCAAATCACAGTTTTGATCCTCCCTTCTGCACTCCCACCAAAGTTAAAAGGCTCTTCTTCTTTTGTAACTCTTGGCACTAGTGCCCTGATACTGCATTCAAAGTATGCAGGTTCTGACTGTCTCCCTTGTCAACATCATTTGCCCTTCAACTCTCTGAAAAGAAAAATACATTGCAAAATTTTTCTTAAGGAATACTAAAGTATGTGATGCACACATAGATTTCCATAAACTTAGACAGTAGCATGAAGGGAAAAAGACAGATTCAAGGTTTTCTGGATTTAACCAAAACTCTCCTTTCGTTTTGCACTTTGTTGGTAACAGTGTCATTTATCTTTTATCACAGCCAGCTTTAGTGTTGAAATTTCACATATAATGTGTTCATTCACTGTTGTAGCAGTCAACTTTTTAAAAGCCAATTTAAAATGACAGAAAATATACCCAAAGTAATGTTAAGAATCATAATCATAAGAGATCTTTAAAATTTTAAAAACTTAAAGTATAATAATTTCTTTAGGTACATATTGTCCTAACGTTGTCTCATTCAGTAAGAGTCACTCTATAAAAGACATCACGACATTTGGACCATAGAATATTTTCATTATCGTTTTTGTATAGTTGTCTTACATGTAGATACCCTGCCCTACATATTTACTACTAAGTTGTAGACATTCTTGATCAATCTCCAGAGGTTTTCTTTTCCACATGAGCATGTTTAGCTGCAAACAGTAGACTTGGTGACAATAATACAATTTTAGGGTGAATTAAAACATGTCAGTCTCCTAACCTCATAAGCTATGATTTTCATATTATCTTTATAGAAGGGGAAAACCCCACAAACTCACCTTTTCCTTGTGACTTGGTAAATAGGTGTCAGTAAGATCATAGATGTAAAATATAGTTGACCTTCCATATCCAAGGATTCCACATTCCTGGATTCAACTAACCATGGAATGAAAATATTCAAAAAAAGAAAAACAATAAAAAATACAAATTTTAAAACAATGTAAAAACTATTTGTTTTGTTTTGTTTTTTTGAGACGGAGTCTCGCTCTGTCGCCCAGGCTGGAGTGCAGTGGCCGGATCTCAGCTCACTGCAAGCTCCGCCTCCCGGGTTCACACCATTCTCCTGCCTCAGCCTCCCTAGTAGCTGGGACTACAGGCGCCCGCCACCTCGCCCGGCTAGTTTTTTGTATATTTTAGTAGAGATGGGGTTTCACTGGGTTAGCCAGGATGGTCTCAATCTCCTGACCTCGTGATCCGCCCGTCTCGGCCTCCCAAAGTGCTGGGATTACAGGCTTGAGCCACCGCGCGCGGCGTAAAAACTATTTAAATAGCATTTACATTGTATTAGGCATTATATGTAATCTAGAGATGATTTAAGGTATATGGGAGGATGTGAGTAGGTTTTATGCAAATACTATGCCATTTTATGTTAGAGACTTGAATATTCTTAGATTTTGGTATCCTCGGGGAGTCCTGGAACCTATCCCCCCACAGATCCTAGGGGATGGGTATTATCTTTTGCCAAAATCTTATCAGGATGACCACGGATAATGCTTTCATCTTGGACCCCAGCAAAGCCTGGGGCCATTATATGTTTGTTTGTTTTTTTTAATAAATTTCTTTTTTTCTTGTTTTTTTTCCTGTGGTTTTTCAGAGATAGACCTCACCAAGTGCTAGAGCATTATTTCTCAAACTATCCATAGTAAGAGAATAACATTTTTCCCCTAACCTGTCACCAATGAATATGTTGTCCTACTCCTGTGACTTAATTTTTTTTTTTTTTTTTTTTTTTTTTTTTTTTTTTGAGACAAAGTCTCGCTCTATTGCCTAGGCTGGATTACAATGGTGCAATCTCGGCTCACCACAACCTCCACCTCCCGGGTTCAAGCAATTCTCCCGCCTCAGCTCCCTGAGTAGTTGGCACTACAGGCATGTGCTACCATGCCTGGCTAATTTTTGTATTTTTGGTAGAGACGGGGTTTCACTATGTTGGCCAGGCTGGTCTCAAACTCCTGACTTCATGATCCACCCACCTCAGCCTCCCAAAGTGCTGTAATATGTATCTTGTACTACATGTGGCACACCACAGGAGATTGGTGAACCCAAGCTGGCGTATACCATGTTCAGTGAAATGAGACAGATACATGCTCAGATGTCGTGGCCATGTCAAATTACTGCAAGGTTTTGAATACTTAATCTCAGTTTCTGTACTTACAGGTTATTAACAGTCTTCAGACCATGAGTTTAGTTGCACTGTAGTTGAGAGTCTCATTTTGTCTATCTAGGCACACTTGCTTTTAGTCAGGAAAAGTGGCACTGCTTGAAGGCTCTGTATGATTCTGAGCTCCGTTGGGAATGGGAGTTCTGATTGCCCTTTCCAAAGAGCTGCCAGATTCTCACCCTCAGCCTTCTGTGGGTCAAGATAAGGCCTGTTTCCCTGTGGGATTAGACTCCTCTGCACCTATAGCTTCCTTTCTCTTTTCTTCCTCAGACTGAGTAAGCTCATTTACTTACCTTCAAATTCATTAATTCTGTCTTCTATCTGTTCAGATATGCTGTTGAGCTCCTCTCATTAATTTATTTCAATTATACTTTTGAATTCCAGAATTTTTATTTGGTTCTTTTTATAATTTTTATCTATTTATTGATTTGTCTTTATGCCTTCTTTTATTTAGACATTGTTTCTTTTAGCTATTGGAACATATACCCTAAATTCCTCTGTTTTATTCATCCATCTGTGTGTCTCTCTTAATTCTGTCACCTTTTCTCTAAAGCCACTGTCTCTGACTTAGTCCACAAGAAACTCATACCTGGATTATGTGGATTACTGTAGAAACCTCCTAATTTCTTTAAGTATTATTTGCTCCAGTCTTTCTCTCCTTTTCTCTTGGAGTTTTAGTTACCTATATGCTAGATCTTTTTCATGTATTCCTAATCTCTCTCACACTTTGTTTGGTTTGTTTGTTCTTTTCTTTGTACTTTAGTTATGTAACAGTTGATCTGTTACCCACTTGACTAATCCCTGTCTCTTCTGTGTACAGTCTGCCGTTAAACCCACCCAATAGGTTCTTAGAGTTCTTAATGACAAATGTTATGTTTTAAAATTCTTAAATATCTCCTTGATTCTTTTTTAATAGATTTTGGTTCTGTCAAAATTTTTCTTTTTATGAGTTTTTGTGCTTTTTAAAAAATATATTGATGATAGTTATTTTAAAGTCCTTGTCTAAGTAATCTTTGGGGTTTTTTATTGTCTTTTTTTTCCCGTGTTGGGTTTCAGTATTTGGTCCTTTTCTCTTTGCTTTACTTTTTTTTTTTTTTTTAAATGAGAGCCAGAAGTTGATGAAAAGCTGTAGAAGCAAAGAGCTGAGGTTTGTTCTGGTAGCCTGAGTGCCAGGTGCTCACTTGCTTCTGTTGAGGCTTTTTTTTAGGCTTTGTGAATGCTCTTTTATTTTTGTGTCTTTCTTATAGGATATGGCCTTACTGGGTCTCAAATGAAAGTCCACAGTGTATAGTATGAACTTTGGTCTCTTTCTTCTCAATACTGTTTTATAGCTGTGGTTGCAACCTCTCCGTTTCTCTTTCCTTCTGGCTTTTGTAGAGGTGTTACCATATATACGTATGTGCAGGTTAAGGGTCAGCAAATGAGAGGAATTTGTATGGATAATTTTCTGGTTTCCTGCAGTTTCCTTCTCTCCTACCCTCTCACCCTGCATCCTGCCCTCAAATCTCAGCACTTTGGTGGCCCGTGCTTTGACTTCTGCTTTCCAACTCAGTATTCCTCCAGGATGCAATCTGGGGACCCAGGGATTAAGTTTAGGTGAATGTGGCGCTTGCTGCTTATGCTTCCTGCTTTTGAGGACCATAACGCCTCACTTCTTGATTGGTGGTTCCTTCCCCCACCACATGCCTCTAAACAGCAGTTTGTATGTTTTCTCCAGCTTGTATAGCTGATTAGAACTTGATTTCTAAGATGTTGATTTTATAATTTAATTTTTATAAGCCGTTTTATTTTCCTTATATCCAAGCCTTTAAATTGAGAGGGGAGGTGGAGAGGGCCTCATTTACTGCTGATAATTAAGATACATATTCATCTGTCTTAAGTGGTTTATGGAGAATAATTTTAATACAATTTTATGTTGGGATATGAAAAACACAAGTGGAAGGAATTGTTTTTGAGAGAAGGCTTAATGTGAAAGTCTAAACAAGTATAAAATTGTTGCACATAATGTATTCCATAATTTAGAGAATATTAAACTAGCTTCTGTATTTAATCAGAAATACAGAAAATTCTATGTATATTTTTGTCACTTGATATATTAAAAATCTGGCTTTGAAAATGATTTCAGTGTTAATACAGCTTTCACAAATGTCTGGATTCTTTTCTAGTGGATTAATGACTTGGAAAATGATGATTTATATATTACATGGCCTACCAGTTGCCAGAAACTTCTGAAGCCAGTATTTCCTGGAAGTATTCCTTCCATAAGACGCAATTTTCATAATTTGGTGAGTTTTATATTTTGATTATACATATATATCTTAAAAAGATATCAGCATTATTTTTGGATTATCCTTCTGTTAATGAATAGGCATCTGAATTGTAAGGAAATAAGTATTTGCCTAATGCAGCTAGCTTAGGTGGCTTGGCTGACTGGGTATCAACAACTAGCAGTGTCACTGTATTAGTCCGTTCTCATGCTGCTAATAAAGACATACCCGAAACTGGGTAATTTATAAAGGAAAGAGGTTTAATTGACTCCTCAGCATGGCTGAGGAGGCCTTAGGAAACTTACAGTCATGGCAGAAGGGGAAGCAAACGTGCTTCTTCACGTGGTGGCAGGAAGGAGAAGTATGAGTAAAAGGGGAAAGCCCTTGATAAACCATCAGATCTCATGAGACCTCACTATCACAAGAACAGCATAGAGGCAACTGCCTCCATGATTTAATTACCTCTCACTGGGTCCCTCCCATGGCACATGGGGATTATGAGAACTACAATTCAATATGAGATTTGAGTGGGCACACAGCCAAACCATGTTAGTCACATGTTCTGCCTGTTACTCTTTAGCCCTTATGTCATTTTATAGTAACAATATTAATTTTACTTTTACATTTTTTCAAAAGAATTTATGACAGAACTTTATTAAAAAGAATTAATGATTAAAGTGTAGTAATTTCAGAGAAACATACATAAATACCACTTTATCATCTATGCATATAATTTTTTATCCCAATAATAGCTAAACATTAATATTGGAACTTTGAAAGATGGAGAAAATACCTAGGGCTGTTTTTTCACGTAGGAAATAAATAAGATATTTTTTGCAGCAGTCTTGATAAAGCAGTTATGTTAATGCTATTTTTTTTCGGTCAAAATTCAACCTCTTTCTTTTTGAAAAAATTTATCATAGAAAATCTAATGAACATTTAGAATAAGGTATTTCAGTTCAGGTAAAAGAAAATATACTGGGCATCCAAAGAGAAGATGAGTAGCCTGATGTTAAATTCTATGTATAATTATATTTGGATGTACAGCTTTTAGAAATCCTTCATAAATTGTGAAATCCTTTGTGTGTGTGTGTGTGTGTGTATTCCTTAGAATTGCTAGAATGTCTTTAAAAATTATACATTGAGGCCAGGCACGGTGGCTCAAGCCTGTAATCCCAGCACTTTGGGAGGCCGAGACAAGTGGATCATGAGGTCAGGAGATCGAGACCATCCTGGCCAACACGGTGAAACCCCGTCTCTACTAAAAAAAATACAAAAAACTAGCCGGGCGAGGTGGCGGGCGCCTGTAGTCCCAGCTACTCAGGAGGCTGAGGCAGGAGAATGGCGTAAACCCGGAGGCGGAGCTTGCAGTGAGCCAAGATCTGGTCACTGCACTCCAGCCTGGGCGACAGAGCCAGACTCTGTCTCAAAAAAAAAAAAAAAAAATTATACATTGAATTTTGTACTTTCAGTCACAAAAATTTGTCTAAACTTGAATTTCATGAAGATTCTAAGGTGTTGAAATAGTGATTATATACTGTCTTTCTTTTAGGTTCTGTTTATTGATCCGGCCCAAGAATATACCTTGGATTTTATAAAACTTGCTGATCTTTTCTATTCTCACAAAGTTCCTCTTAGGTAATTGTCATTTTATAGCATTAAACTGTCAACTAAAGGAAATTCAATGCTGTTCATATTGTGTTACACAGAGTGTTAATAGGGAATTCAAAGCGATGGTTAGCTCTAGTGCCTGACGTAACATAGCTGTGCGTTGTGAAGTATTATATAGACTCGGCTTATCAAATCTGTCCGGTAATGTTTACTTTATTACCTTCCTGAGAGAATAATCTGATCACTCTGGAAATTACAGAATGGTCCAACTTCGTATGCTTGTAATCCCAGCACCTTGGGAGGCCAAATCAGGCAGATCATGAGGTCAGGGGTTCAAGACCAGCCTGGCCAATGTGATGAAACCCTGTCTCTACTAAAAATACAAAACTTAGCCGGGCATGGTGGTGCATGCCTGTAGTCCCAGCTGCCTGGGAGGCTGAGGCAGGAGAATCACTTGACCTGGGAGGCAGAGGTTGCAGTGAGCCAAGATTGTGCCACTGCACTCCAGCCTGGGCGACAGAGCGACACTCTGTCTCAAAAAAAAAAAAAAAAAAGAGTATATTTACCCTTTTTGTACAAAAGAACATGACCATTTGATAATGTTAGCACCAGAGGGAGAGAGTTTGATATTTTGCAGGAATCCAGTAGCTATGTGGGTTTTGGTGAATAGACATTACATTCAGACTTTTGAATTGATAAAATTCTCCTTTTCTCTGTCTATTAATACATTCTCTCCATCTAGATATTATAGTCTAATAATGTTTCTAAATAATGGTTTATTGTGATTCAAGAGGTAATTGTAACAGTCCTTATTCATCTTCTTTTTCCAGAATTGGTTTTGTGTTTGTTCTTAATACAGATGATGAAGTTGATGGAGCAAATGATGCTGGAGTTGCTCTTTGGCGAGCTTTCAACTATATTGCAGAAGAATTTGATATATCAGAAGCATTTATTTCTATAGTACATGTGAGTTTATGCACTAAATATGATTACTTTAGAATGTAAAATTTTTGCATTACTATATTATGATTTCTTTAGAATATATAATTTTTGCATTTTATTTATTGTAACATTTCAAAGTTTATAAACTATCATGGAGATTAATACATATGATGAATTTGTTTTCTGTAACTCCCTGCTGAAGTACATAATATTATCCTCATATTATAAATTAGGTAACTGAGGTTCTACCAAAATATTTGAATTTACTCAGGTTTGCTTAGCCAATAAAGGAATTTAAATTGTATATGTAAGTTTAGAGGAAAACATATTAATAGAAAATGATTATTTAAGGAAAAATTCTTGAACTAGGCTTTGAATAAAGGGATCATTGCAGGCTGCGCACAGTGGCTCATGCCTATAATCCCAGCATTTCAGGAGGCCAAGGCAAGAGGATCACTTGAGACCAGGAGTTCGAGACCAGCCTAGGCAACACAGTGAGACCCTGTATCTACCAAAAAAAAAAAAAAAAGCCAGATGTGGTGACTCATGCCTGTAGTCATAGTTACTCAGGAGCTGATGTGGAAGGATCATTTGGGCCCAGAAGGTTGAGGCTGCAGTGAGCCAAGGTCGAGCTATTGCACTCCAGCCCAGGTAATGGAGTGAGAGCCTGTCTCATGGAAAAACAAAAAATCATTGCAGAGTTAAATATTCTGAATGACATAGCATATAGACACTTCGTAGAGAGTTTCGAAGAAGGGGGAAGTCACTTATTGACAGCAAACTGTGTGAAAGAGGTAAGATACAGAGTCTGACAGAGATTGTATAACAGATGTTAGAAATTGGTAAGAACCTGATTAAGGAAGAACAAGAGATAGTAAGATTATTTCATAATTGAGGTTTTGAAATTCTGTTACGGATCATTGTGGAAATATATATGTATTAAAGAGCTATATTGTTATTACGAAAAGTCAAGTCATAGCTTATAAAATAACTTTTATCATTTTTGTATTCATTGGGCTTTAGCTTGTCAATAAATATTATATCAAGGAATGACTCTTCTGAGAAAGGAATTTCCAAAGTACTGCAAATTTCCCACCCTACTTGTGTAACCCCCAGGAAAATCATTAAATACCTTATTAATTCACTGAACTAGAGTATAGAAACTACACTTCAGTGATTTGGGGAGTACAGTTTGCTCTGTAAAATAGTGTCATGGAATATATGTCACTATTATGTCTCAGCTTACTGGTTTTATTAACTTACTGGTGTAAGAGTTTATAAGGGACATAGTCAATTTGAGTTACATCTTTTATTAAGACTCAACCATTTTATTTTAAAAGATCATTATGATATTCAAAACTTAGAAACCTGAAGATATTCAGAAATTATCTTTACCTAAGTTATCTTAATTATCAATATTGAATCTCTGTTAAGTGTTTTGTATCAGACATTAATTTACATGTGATGGCATTAATCTACAATGTTCAGCACAATACTATTAATATATAATCTCTTGGAAAAACAAATTATACTTGAAACCACAGGGTTTAATACAAAGCAGCATAAAAGTGAGTATTAAATTTGTGGCACAGCCTGTAAATTGTGCTAAACAATTAGAAGGAGAGGGAGAAGGGGAAATAATGTGAATAAGGTGTAGTTTTTAGGAAAATACATGAATTATAAAATCTTTTAAAAGTGTTTCCCTGTTTTCAGTGAGCTAATTACCTTATCTCAAGTAATTTGAAGCTATGTAGCACTATAAAGAGAGAAGAGGAATATAAGACCAAAATAATAATAAAATATATGAAAGTTATTGAAATGTGATGATAAATAGCAAATAGTAAAAGTTAATCCAACCATATCTGTGACCACATTAAGTGTGAGTAAATTAAACTTTAGCATACTAGAAGAAAAGATACAAAAAGATAGAAAATTATACACAAAGTGACTATTTCACAAATGAAATCTAAGGTAGCCATAAAATATTAGGGGAAATAAACTTTAAGAAAAAGTACTAAAGTTGTATGTAGCTTCAAAATATACAATACAAAATTTGATAGCAAGGGAGATAAATGGACAGTTTCACTATAATAGTAGTAGATTATTTTAACATGTCTCTATTAATAGGTGAGGCAGATTAAAAATCAGTAAAAACATACAAGATTTTAATAATACACTTAAGATTAATTTTTAAAGCAAATATGAAATCCAACAATCAAAGAATGAGATAATTTTGCATTCAAAACAGAAGAGGAAAATATGTCTTTTAGTTAGAAAAGAAGGGATGAAAAGTACTGGTTAACCACTCAGAAATGAGTAATTGATTTTTAAGAAGTAGATGGAAAGTAATAAGAATACACATTAATGAACTAGGAAATAATACAATTATGGGATCAAGAATATAAAAGTTGATATTCTGAAAAAACAAATAAAATTGACAAACTATCATAGAGGTTAGGCTCCAGATGAGCACACCAGGTAGAAACTTCCAGCCTCTTAAGGCCTGGGCTCAGAGATGGGTACATCATTATTTTCAGTTTATTCCATTGTACTCTGTTTATCAAAGAGTCACAGATTCAGATTCATATACCCACCTCTCAATGGAATGAGTGTTGAAGAATTTGGAGACCATGTTTTAAAACTAGTACAGCAAATTCTACCAAATATTCAAATGTTTGAAGAAATAATAATTTCAATCTTTAAAATCTCTTTTAGAGAATAGAAAAAGAGGAAATATTCCCTAAATTGGTCTGTGAATCTAGTATAATCTGATGTCAAAGCCTGACAAAAAGAGAAAAGGAAAAATTATAGGCTGTTCTTTGTTGAGAATATGTATGCCAAAGTCCTAAATAAAATGTTAACAAAAGAAATCAGCAGGTATATAAAAAGTAAGCTATCATGACAAGGTGAGATTATCTAATGAGTAAAAGGAAGTATTTGCAAATTCGAAGAATCTCTAAGTATCATTCACCATGTTAATATATTTTTCAAGAAGATGCATAAGAAACATTTGAAAAAATTCAAAGCTTTTTTATGATTAAAAAACTCATAAAGAAACAAAATGTTTAGCAAAGTATTATATAAGGGAATTTTGTTAATTGATGACAGTACATCTTAGCAGTAAAATGATAGAAAGCATTGTTTTTAAAATTGGTAAAACATAAGGTACCCACCGTCAACACTTCAAGTATAATCCTCAAGTTCTGGTCAGTGCAGTAAAATAAGTAAAGGAAATACTCATTTAAAATACTTAAAAGAAACATTATTATTTAAAATTCTAGAGTTGCCTACAGAGGAGACTCGAAAGAATCCATTGATTGTGAGATTTGATACAGGAGGTTAGTAAAGTAACTGGATATGAGATCAGTATACTAATACCAGTTGTTTTTTTCTCTTCTAACAACAAATATTTATTACTTTTTTCATCAGTTTTATTAAGTGCCTAGTACATAGCACACTCTGTTTTAGATGCTTGGATAAATTAATGACATATATAGTCAACAATCCTTATCCTTATGAGACTCCCACATGTAAATGACTCCCACATTTACAATGACAAGAGCAAATAAAAGATACTTAGGAAACCTGGGGGCTGGGGGGAAAGGTCAGTTTTGTGGAGAAAATGTGGGATTATAGCCATTAAAGTTTACCTAAATGAATGAAAAGTTCTACCATGCTTACCAATAGAAATATTTCACTTCATAATTATATTGTTTTCTGCAAGTGATTTATAAATTCAATGCAGTTCCGACCAAAGTCAAATTTTGGGGATTTTTGTGAAATTTGACGTTTATTTTAAAATTTATATGGAAGAATGAAGACTCAAAATGGGTGAAACTTTGAAGAATAAAGTGATGGGGCTTGTCATACCAGGTAATAAGGTGCATAAAGTTTGTGCTATGGGTTCAAGGGAAAGACAGAAGAACATGGGGGTCCCAAAACTTGAGAATACAGAAGTGGCATTACAGTAAATGAGAGTGGACTTACAACAACTGTGGTTCGACAGTGGTTATACCAATGCAAATAAATAAGACCTCACACCTTGTGTAAAAATCATTTCAGTTAGCTTAAAAATGTAAGTGTAGAAAACAAAACTTTAAAACATTTAGAAGTTAGGACCCCAAGGTAAGGGTTTCCTAGATAAAACTTAAAAAACTCATAAGTCTGAAGGAAAATACTCATAATTTCAGCTAAATTACAAATGAAAACCAGTGCTCATTAAAATATGTCATTAAAAAGTAGGGAAAATGTTATAAGCAGAAGTATTTACAATACATATGGCCAATAAAATATTTATATTCCATGAGATGTAAAGATTCAAAAAGAGAAATACCAATGACCCAAAAGGAGAAATGCATAAAATAACTTTTAAAGTAGAGGTTGCATTAATGGTAAATAAAAATTTACTGAAACTGTTGGTGGTAAATATTTATTACCATAACTAAACTAGATAATTATATTACTAATTTGAAAAATGCAAATAAAGACTACTACCATGAGATTATTTGATACCCTGTAATTTGGCAGGAATTAAGAAAGCTGAAGGTATCATGTGTTAATGAGAAGGTAGAGCAATGGAATGCCTTTACATTGCTACCCTGCCTGTAGGAATCTAAATTGGCAGAGCCACACTGAAAAAATAATCTGATAATAATTCATATTTTGAAGTTAAATTTCCATATTTCCTACACACAACACACACACAACACACACACAACACACACACAACACACACACACACACACACACACACACACACACCCTCACCCTCACCCTAAGAGAAGCTCTTGTACCTGCACCTTAGGAGGCTATTGTTAGAATCATTCAGAATAGCAACAAACTGTAATAAAAATGACCCAAATATATATATCAGTAGCAAAATAGGTAAGTAGAATTTGGCATATTCATAGAATGAAATATCATATGCAAGAGCATGGATGTATTAGAAACATAATGAAGTCATAGAAGACTAACACCATACCATATACTTTTTAAAGCTCAGAAGCAAACAAAACTAAGTATGGGAATACTTATTCACATAAAACTCCAGAATTCAAAAAGGAAAGGGAATGATAAATGCAAATTCAAAACAGTCCTTGCATCTCTTGGGGCACAAGGAAATGGGATTGGGAGAGAAGTTGTACTTCATGGTATTGGTGATGTTCCATTTCTTACGTTACATGGTTTATTCATAGGAATCGTTTATTTTGTTATTTATGCCTCATAACGTATATGTTCTATGTATTCCTTTTTGCTTACCAAGTTACAAAATAATTTTTAAAATTTAAAAATGTCTAAGAGGATTGAGTTGATATGTCGGAGTAACTTACGTGAGGCATTCTGACTACCTTATTTTATAGGAGTATCTAATATTTTCAAGTGACTAGTTAGTAAAATGACTAATCTGAATGACTTTTTATATACCTTTTGCTTTATTCAAAATCTCATTTTTGCGATCTCCATTTATATTTTACAGAAGATTGAACTTTTCACCTTTTTTGAGTTATGATCACATTATATTCTACTTTGATAGGAGAAAACTTGCCCCTAAATTGATAAACTCATAAAATGAAACTCTTCAGTCTAATTATATACCTGTGCTGCTTCTTAAAGGAATAGGGTACAAAGTTTACCTCCATTTATGTTTTACAGAAGATTGAACTTTTCACTTTTTTTGAGTTATGATCACATTGTGTTCTACTTTGATAGGAGGAGAAAACTTGCCCCTAAATTGAAAAACTCATAAAATGAAACTCTTCAGTCTAATTACGTACTTGTGCTGCTTCTTAAAGGAATAGGGTACAAAGTTTACAGTGATACAGGGAGAGCAAAGAATACTAATTTCTAACTGTGAGGAATAACGTGGGAATCATTTTAGCCACAATATGAAGATTATATTTGGCAATAATGATTTAAGTAAATTGGGACCAAAAACAATATTCTTAAATGACATATTAAATGCTGCTTAATAGTGTTTGTACTTACTACTTGTTCCTTCTGCTTGTAAGTTTCTTTCCCCAGAATGTCTTAATGCTAGCTCAGTGTTCATATTTATGTCTCAGCTTAGTCGTCTACTCAGAGGTGCCATCTCTCGGTGCAAAACCTAAAACAGCACCTGGGTCATAGAGGATCTCTAAGTACTTATTAAAGAAAGTAATAAGAAAACATAAAAAGAATAACAGCTTACATTCTACAAGTGTGTTTAGAACATTTGAGACTGGGGAAGAGTAGAGGTGCAGAGAAAGTTTAGTCAGAATACTTACTAGTAAGGCCTGGCATGGTGGCTCATGCCTGTAGTCTCAACCCTTTGGGATGCCGAGGCAGGTGGATTGCTTGAGCCCAGGAGTTTGAGACCAGCCTGAGCAACATGGCAAGATGTCTTTAAAAAAAATACAAAAAAATTTAGCCAGGTGTGGTGGCAAGTTCCTGTAAGCCCAGCCCTTTGGGATGCCAAAGCAGTTGGATCACTTGAGCTCAGGAATTCGAGACCAGCCTGAGCAACATTGCCAGACCCTGTCTTTACAAAAAATACAAAAAAAAAAAAAAAAAAAAACCTAGCCAGATGTGGTGGCAAGTTCCTGTAGTCCCAGCTACCCAGGGAGCTAGGTGGGAGGATTGCTTGAACTGGGAGGTTGAAGCTGCAGTGAGCCATGATGACACTACTGCACTCCAGCCTGGTCGACGGTGAGACCCTGTCTCAAAAAAAATTACAGAAGAGCAATAAAAAATAAAAGCATTTCTGAAATGTCATATTAGAATATATTACACATACCTTAAAAAAGGTAACCATTATTTTATTAAGAATAATGAGGTCTGGTTTCATCAAAATAGAATAAAACAAATTTGTTATGATATTTTTGAAAACTATAGAATATTTTAAAACCATCTTTATTAGAAGATGATATATGGTTAAAATTATTTATTTGTATGTGGTATGTGTGTATATGTAGTTAGTATGTTTCGGACTTACAAAATAATCTATCTGCATGCTAAGGAAAAGAAAGAAAACTAATTGCTGTAAGAAGAAAAGTAATTATAATATCTAAATTTTCACAGATGTACCAAAAAGTGAAGAAGGATCAAAATATACTCACTGTGGACAATGTGAAGAGTGTTCTCCAAAATACATTTCCTCATGCTAATATTTGGGATATTTTGGGAATTAATTCTAAATATGATGAAGAAAGAAAGGTAAGTTGGGACATTATGTTAAGTGAAGTAGGCCAGGCACAGAAAGACAAACACCACATGATCTCTACTCATGTAGAATCTTAAAAAAATGTCAGACTCACAGAAACAGAGCAAAATGGTGGTTACCAGAGCCTGGGGATGGCAGAATTGGGGAGATATTCGTCAAAGGATACAAAATTTCAGTTAGACTAGAGAAGTTCAAGAGATCTATCATACATGGTGGTGACTATAGTTAATGACAACATATTGTATACTTGAAAATTACTAAGAAAGTATATTTTAAGGATTCTCACCACAAAATATGACAGCTGTCCCCCATATTTCACACCCTGTAAACACTGCTGTGTTAGTCCATTTTCACGCTGCTGATAAAACATACCTGAGACTAGCAATTTACAAAAGAAAGCGGTTTAATGGACTCACAGTTCCTTGTGGCTGGGGAAACCTCACAATCATGGCAGAAGGTGAATGGCATGTCACACATGATGGCAGACAAGAGAACTTGTGCAGGGAAATTCTCCCTTATAAAACCAGCAGATCTCATGAGACATATTCACTGTCACTAGAATAGAGTGGGAAAGACCTGTCTTCATGATCTCATTACCTCCTACTGGGTCCCCCCACAACATGTGGGAATTGTAGGAGCTACAATTTAAGATGAGAATTGGGTGGGGGCACAGCCAAACCATATCAACTGTGAATTTAACATGCGTAAGTATACCACACTCTCACTTCCCTTTCGGTCCTTGCTATACTCTCTTCACTTGCAATGTCTTTCTCTACTTTATCTCCCTGGCAAATTTTTATTAAGCCTTTGAGACTTTTAGTATCACTCCCTAAAAGAAGCCCTGTATAATCCCTTCCTCTCCATATACTCCAGCTTGATTAGGTGCTTCTCCTGGGCCCCACAGAATCTTCTACGTGCCTGTGTTTTCTCTGTATGTATGTGAACCCCTTGAGAAAAGACTTTCAGCTCTATAATCACAGTATCTAGCCTAATGCAGGTGGCAGGATTGAATCAGTGTTTATTGAACATATAAATACAGGGATAAATAAGTCTCTGATGCCGATAAATGTTTCGATTTTTATTGTTAAGTAAATGTCATACTCTATACCAAGAATCAGCAAGTTCACCCACTGCTTGTTTTTGTGAATAAAGTATTTTGGGGACACAGCATACTTGCTGTAACATGAGAGTGGAGTCATTGTGTCAGAAACTGGGTGGCTCACAAAGCCTAAAATATTTACTGTCTGGCCCTTTACAGAAAAAGTTTTTTGACTCCTTGTAGGTAAATTACTTTCCTTTAAGCAGTGTTTGGAAAGGACAGATAAAGTTAGCAAAATGGATGTTTTTTCCTATGGCGTATAAAAATGTGGCAGTGTTCCATTTTCTTATGTTTATTTTTCAAACAATCATATTTTGTTTAACACTGATATTTTTTAACTGAATAGACTGGAGCAAGCTTTTATAAGATGACTGGCCTGGGACCTTTGCCTCAAGCTCTTTATAATGGTGAACCCTTTAAACATGAAGAGATGAATATTAAAGAACTAGAAATGGCTGTTCTTCAAAGAATGATGGATGCATCTGTATATTTACAAAGAGAAGTTTTTTTGGTAGGTAAGCATTTATAAGAAAATACACGATGAATAATATTTATAAATGATATTAAAATTTTATTTTTATGACAAGTTAATTTGGTAAAAAAATTTTCATTCTGATCATTTAATAGTGATTTTTTTTTTTTTTTTGAGATGGAGTCTCGCTCTGTCGCCCAGGCTGGAGTGCAGTGGCGCAATCTCGGCTCACTGCAAGCTCCGCCTCCCGGGTTCACGCCATTCTCCTGCCTCAGCCTCCCGAGTAGCTGGGACTACAGGCGCCCACAACCACGCCCGGCTAATTTTTTTTTTGTATTTTTAGTAGAGATGGGGTTTCACCATGGTCTCGATCTCCTGACCTTGTGATCCGCCCGCCTCGGCCTCCCAAAGTGCTGGGATTACAGGCGTGAGCCACCGCGCCCGGCGAATAGTGATTTTTTAAATGATTCTTTTAGCAGCTCAAGCCACGCCACCCTACCTGTGCAGAGACTGTGGTGCAGTGTGGCCCTTTACACTCCGTGCCAAGGCAGATCTTCAGGAATCTGGAACACCCACTGTCCTCGATTAGTTGTTTAGGCTACCCTGCTCCCTGTGCGGAGAACTTGGAGCCAAGGAAGTTTCCCAGCTCCACGCCTAGGCACACCTCTGGACACCTGGTGGTTGCCCACTGTATTCTCCCTCGGTATTGGTGCTTGTGCCTGCCATTAGGGTACCTGTAGGCAGGCCTGCTCAGTCTGGCCCTGTCCATCTTGCCCACCATGGCTGAGCAGGGAACCCAGACCACTGTGCACACCACAGATCAGCCCATTGCCTGAGACAACAGAGAGATTATCCCAGTAACAAGGATCAAGTATATACCCTGCCATGTTGGCCTCAGCTGGCTTTTACTCATAAGGGCTATCTACTGGCTTGTAGGTCAAACCACATAGCCCAAAGTAAAATCAGCTGATAGAAAAGCATAGGGCTATAGAAGCATCACTTAAGGAATTTCAAAATACAATTGAAAGCTTTATCAATAGACTGGACCAAGCAGGAGAAAGAATTTCACAGCTTGAAAACCAGTCTTTTGAACTAACCCAGTCAGATAAAAATAACAAAAATGAATTTAGGCCAGGCATGGTGGTTTATACCTGTAATCCCACCACTTTGGGAGGTTAATTAAAGAGGATCGCTTGAGCTGAGGAGTTTGAGACCAGCTTGGGCAACATAGTGAGACCTCCTCTCTACAAAAAAACTTAAAATTTAACCAGGTGTGGTGATGTATGCCTGTAGTCCCAGCTGCTCAAAAGGCTGAGGCAGGAGGATCACTTGAGCCTAGGAGATGGAGGCTGCAGTGAGTCATGATCATGCCACTGCACTCTAGCCTGGATGACAGAGTGAGACCCTGTCTGAAAAGAAAAAAAAAGAATTTTAAAAAATGAACAGTGTTCAAGAAATACAGGATTATGTTAAAGGAACCAAACTTACAAATTATTGGCATTCCTGCTAGAGAAGGAGAAAAACAACCAGGAAAACATATTTGAGGGAATAATTCAAGAAAATTTCCCTGATCTTGCTAGTAAAGTAGACATTCAGTTACAAGAAATTCAGAGAACACTGTGAGATACTATACAAAGTTAGCATCACCAAGGCTTAGGGTCACCAAACAGTCCAAGGTCAGTGCTGAAGTAAAAATCTTAAAGGCAACTAGAGGAAAAAAGATCACATACAAAGGGAACCCCATCAGACTAACAACAGACTTCTCAGTGGCCTATTTTCAGCATTCTTAAAGAAAAGAAATTCCAACCAAGAATTGTGTATCCTGTCAAACTAAGCTTCATAAGTGAAGGAGAAATAAAATATTTTCCAGACAAGCAAACACTAAAGGAATTCATTAGCACTAAACTGGCCTTACAAGAGCTCTTTAAGGGAATGGAAGAATGGTACAAAAACACACTAAAGTACATAGCCCACAGAACCTATAAAGTATCCACTTGATAGAAACTGAAAAGCAGCCAGCTAAGAACTTCACATAGGATCAAAACCTCATGTACCAATATTAACCTTGAATATAAGTGGCCTAAGTGCCTCACTTAAAAGGCACAGAGTGGCAGTTGGATAAAAAACAAGACCCATCTCTCTGCTGTCTTCAGGAGACCCATCCCATGCATGATGACACCTATGGGCTCAAAGTAAAGGGTTGGAGAAAGATTTATCATGCAAATAAAACAAAACAAAAGCAGAAGTTGCTATTCTTAGATAAAACAAACTTGAAACCAACAATAGATAATTATAAAGTGTTCAACAAGAAGACTTAACTATCCCAAATATATGTGCACCAACACTAGAGCACCCAGATTCATAAAACAAATACTTCCACAGCTATGAAAAATCTTAAGACAGCTACACAATAATAGTGGGAGACTTCAACTCCCCCACTATTATTGAGCTAACCCAGTCAGACAAAAATAAACAACAAAGAATTTAGGCCAGGCATGGTGGTTCATGTCTATAATCCCACCACTTTGGAAGGTCAATCCAAGAGGATTGCTTTAGCTGAGGAGTTTGAGACCAGCCTGGGCAACATAATGAAACCTCTCTACAAAAATCTTAAAACTTAGCCAGGCGTTGTGGTGTGTGCCTGTAGTCCCAGCTACTCAAAAGGCTGAGGAAGGAGGAAGACGGAAGACAGCAGACAGCCAAGTCTTGTTTTTTATCCAGCTTGCCATCGTGTGCTTTTTAAATGAAGCCTGTGGGCCATTTATATTTAGGGTTAATATTGGTACATAAGGTTTTGAGCCTGTCATGAAGTTCTTAGCTGGCTCCTTGCCGTTTCTGTCATATGTTAGACACAGTGTTAGATTATCAAGGCAGAAAACTAACAAATTCTGGACTTAAATGGACACTGACCAGTTGGACCTAATAGACATCTACAGAACATTCCACCCATCAGCCACAGAATATTTATTCTTTTCAGCTGCATACAGAGCATACTCCAAGATCAAGCACATGCTTGCCCATAAAGCAAATCTCAATAAATTTTTTAAAATCAAAATCATACCAGTCATACTCATGGGCCACAGTAGAATAAAAATAGAAATCAGAACTCAGGACATCTCTCAAAACTACATAATTATATAGAAATTAAACAACTTGCTTTTGACATCACTTTTATGTAAACAGTGAAAAATTAAGGCAGCAATAATAAAAATTCAAATAAATGAAAATGAACAACATACCAAGATCTCTGGCATGCAGCAAAAGCAGTGTTAAGAGGAAAGTTTGTAGTGCTAACCACCTATCTCAAAAATTTAGAACTATCTCAAAATAATGACTTAACATCACACTGAGAGGAATTAGGAAAAACAAGAATGAACTAACCTCAAAGCTAGCAGAAGAAAAGAAATAACTAAAATCAGAGCAGAACTGTACAAAATTGAGACCAAAAAATTTGTACAATGAATCAGTGAAACCAAGCATTGGCTCTTGGAAAGGAAAAACAAGATCGATAGACCACTAGCTAGATGAACAGAAAAAAGAGAAAAGATCTAAATAAGCACAAGTAGAAGCAACAAAGGTGACATTACAATTGATCTTGTAGAAATACAAAAGATCCTCAGAAGACCTCTATGCACACAAACTGGAAAATCTAGAGGAAATGGATAAATTCCTGGTCTCCCAAGATTGAATCGGGAAGAAATTGACACCCTGAATGGACTGATATGTTCCGTAATTGAACAGTAATAAAAAACCTACCAACCAGTAAAAGCCCTGGACCAGATGGATTTATAGCTGAATTCTGCCAGATGTACAAAGAAGAACTGTTACCAATCCTACTGAAACTATTCCAAAAAACCAAGAAGGAGTGAAGAATGCCTCCCTTACTCATTCTGCAAAACCCGTGTTATCCTGATACCAAAACCTGGAAAACATGCAACGAAAAAACTAGAGGCTATTATTACTGACAAACATAGATGGAAAAATCCTCAACAAAATACTTGCAAACTGAATCCAGCAGCATACCAAAAAATTAATTCACCATAATCAAATAGGCTTCACTCCTGGGAAAGGTTGGTTCAACATTAACAAATCAGTAAATGTCATTCACCACATAAACAGAATTTGAAACAAAAAATGTGATCATTTTGATAGATGCTGAAAAAGTATTCAGTAAAATCGAACATCCCTTCATGATAAGAAAAAAAAAAAAAAAAACCAACCCTCAATAAACTGCATTGAAGGAACATACCTCAAAAGAGTAAGAGCCATCTATGACAAACCCACAGCCAGTGTCATACCAAACAGGCAAAAGCTGGAAACATTCCCCTTGAGAACTGGAACAGGAGAAGGATGCCCAGTCTCACTATTCCTATTCATCATAGTACTGGAAGTCTTAGCCAGAGCAATCAGGCAAGAGCAATATATAAAAGGCATCCACATAGTAAAAGAAGTTCAGTATCTCTCTTTACTGATATGATTCTACACCTAGAAAACTCTAAGGACTCCACCAGACAACTCCTGGAACTGATAAATTACTTCAGTAAAGTTTCAGTATTCAAAATTAATGCACAAAAATCAGTAGCATTTCTATAGACCAATAACATTCAAGCTGAGAGCCAAATCAAGAACGCAGTCCAATTTACAATAGACACACACACACACAAAATAACTAGGAATACAGCTAAGGAGGTGATAGATCTCTACAAGGATAATTACTAAACGCTGCTGAAAGTAATATATCATACAAACAAATGGGTAAACATTCCATGCTCACGGATTGGAAGACTAAATATTGTTAACATGGCCATACTGCCTGACACAATGTATAGATTTAATGCTATTCCTATCAAACTGCCAATATCATTATTCACAGAATTGGAAAAAACTATTCTAAAATTCATATGGAACCAGGAAAGAGCCCAAATAGCCAAGGCAATTCCAAGAAAAAGAACAAATCTGAAGGCATCATATTACCCAACTTTACACTATACTACAAGGCTACAGTAACCAGAGTTGCATGGAACTGGTACAAAATAGACACATAGATTAATGGAACAGAATAGAGAACCCAGAAATAAACCCACACACCTACAACCATTTTAGCTTTGACAAAGTTGACAAAAATTAGTGGGGAAAGGATCCTCGATTCAATAAATGGTCCTGGGATAGCTGGCTAGCCATATGCAAACAAATGAAACTGGACCCCTAGTTTTCACCATATTCAAAACTTAACACAAGATAGATTAAACAGTTAAGTATAAGACTTAAAACTATAAGAATTCTAGAAGAAAATCTAGGAAACACCATTCTGGACGTCAGTCTTGGGAAATAATTTATGGCTAAGACCTCAAAAGCAATTGCATCAAAAACAAAAATTGACAAGTGGGACCTAATTAATTAAAGAGCACAGCAAAAGAAACTCGCAACAGGGTAAACACACAGCCTACAGAATATACAGAAAATATTCACAAACTATACATCCGACAAAGTTCTAGTATCCATAAGTAGCAAACAAATCAAGTAAAGAATAAATAACCCCATTAAAAAGTAGGCAAATGACATTAACAGGTACTTCTCAAAAGAAGACACACAGGCAGCCACCAAGCATATAAAGAAATGTTCAACATTACTAATCCTTAGATAAGTGCAAATCAAAACCACAAGGAGACACCATCTCGTACCAATTAGAATGGCTATTATTAAAAAGTCAAAAAACAGCAGATGCTGGCGAGGCTGAGGAGAAAAGGGAATGCGTATACACTGTTAGTGGGGATGTAAAGTAGTTCAGCCCCTTTGGAAAGCAGTTTGTAGATGTTTCAAAGAACTTAAAACAGAACTGCCATTCAACCCAGCAATCCCATTACTGGGTACCTGTCCAAAGGAAAATAAATCGTTCTACCAAAAAGACACATGTATGTTCGTTGCGGCACTATTCATAATAGCAAAGATGTAGAATTAGCCTAGGTGTCCATCAGTGGTGGATTGGTTAAAGAAAATGTGGTACCTATATAAACCATGGAATACTATGCAGCGATTAAAAATGAAATCAGGCCCTTTGCAGCAAGAGGGACTCAGCTGGAGGCCAAGCAAACTAACACAGAAGCAGGAAACGAAACACTGCGTGTTCTCACTTGTAAGTGGGAGCTAAACATTGGGTACTAATAGACATAAAGATGGCAGCAAGAGACACTGGGGACTTCTAGAGGGGAGAGGGAAGGGTTGAAAAACTATCTGGTACTATACTCACTATCTGGGTAATGGGATCAGTCATACCCCCAACTTCAGCATTACTTGATACACCAGTGTTGTAACCAATCTGCATGTGTACCCTTGAATCTAAAATAAAAGCTGAAATTCTTTAAAAAAAATATTCAATTTATCTTAGGCATATTTGCATCTAAAAATTGCTTAATTGGAAAAAGTTGTAATTGTTACAAGAAAATATTGTAATAATTCTAAATTGCTTATTTATTTTTGATCTTTATATCTGCATAGTTTTTGAAACGTGGATATCAATTGCCTATATTATCTAAATAACATTTTTGTTATTTTAGGGCACGTTAAATGATCGCACGAATGTAATTGATTTTCTAATGGATAGGAATAATGTTGTACCCCGTATAAATTCTTTGATTTTGCATGCTAACCAGCAGTACCTCAATTTAATATCTACATCAGGTAAAATAATCCTATACTGTTCTACAAATGCTTATTGAGTTGTGAATGCTTTATTTATATTTAACATTTAATTTGAAATTTTTCAGTAACTGCTGATGTTGAAGATTACTCCACTTTCTTTTTCTTGGATTCACAAGATAAGAGTGCTGTAATTGCGAAGAACATGTATTATTTAACCCAAGACGGTAATAAGCATATTTTATTTACCTGAATTCTTAAAGTGATAGAAACTTGTAATTTTCATAAGGCAGTTGTATAATAAATTTTAATATGTTTTTATTTTTGAGTAGAGGCCTAGATTTCAATTTTAGAGTTCATGAATTTTTTAGTATTTAATGTGTGCTGAGAAAACAATGCCATCTATTCTAGCTTTATCTTATTTTTGCCTTTTTTTAAAGTAAACAATTTTCACCTTTTTAAGAAAAGAATAAAATCTTTTCAGTACTATGTAAACTATCTTATAATGTATAAAGTACAATTACCACATCATAGAAGATAATAATTCTTCTGCATTCTGATTAAATAACATGCAATGTTTTGCTTAAGGTAGGGGTTACAACCAGAAGAGAGGAGACCAAGACAGTAGCACACTTGGGAAAAAGATTTAGCCAAAACCGAGAAGTCTGCTGTGGGACTATAGATTTGTTAGGGTACAATTAACTATTCAGATAGATGAATATAATTCAAATTTGGTTGGTTTTTGTTTTGCTTTGTTTTGTTTGGCCTGCTTTGCTCTAGAAATAAAAACAAGAGCCAATGAGTAAAAGATTAAAGAAGGCTGATTTTGGTCTCAGTAGAGAAGTGGTAATTTTCTAACAGAGTGCATTAAACAGATGGAATGAACTATGTTGTAAGGGGCAAACTTTTATATAGGAGAGAGATTTAAAGCAAAGGCCACACAACCAGTTCTTGTAAATGCTGTAGATTAAATCAGAGTTTCTACCAGATGGCTCCTGGATTACTGTCTAACAGATTCCATGATTTTATGTTCATAAAGGAGTCTGGCTACATATTGCTGTTTTCTGTATCTACTGGTAAGCTTGATTGTTATGGTTTTACATATATGTGGGATATAAAGGTTTTTTTTTTTTTTTTTTTAACAAATGTAGCTAGAAGGCAGATTTGCTTACCAACACTGGGAGTTTTACGTAAGCTTATATAATGAGTTACTCTTCTAGCTGGAAGCTTTATATACGCTTGTATAATGAATTACCCTTGTAGCGTTTTTATATGTAATTTTATATGTATTTATTTTGTATGTATATATATGTACATGCATATATACATTCACACATAAAATTTTAACAATCTTTGCTAATTTTCAGAAATATTATTTTAATATATTTGGTTTTTTTTAATGTGTTCCCCTGCTTTTGTTTTATTTTTAAAAAGAGTTAATTTGAGTAAACTGTTTGAAACTTTCAGATGACAGTAAAATTTCTGCAGTCACTCTCTGGATTATTGCAGATTTTGATAAGCCTTCTGGGAGAAAACTTCTTTTTAATGCATTAAAGCACATGGTGAGTACCTAGATATTCTTACCAACAGTTTTAATTTATTTCAATTTAAGGAAAGCAATATGAAGAACATGCTTTAAATATTTTCCCCTCCATGTTGATGTTTTAATTAAGTAGACTAAGGAAGGAATTCAGATGTAGTCTTCATGTAAAATAGGTAACTTTGCTCAGGAAAAGAAAAACCTACCTGTTTTCTATGACTTGTGACATATATTCTCTGGTAGCCCTTGTGATCAGACATACAAATACCTCATATCGATTACAGATAGGGTATTAAACAAAGTAAATAACTCTAGACCCTACCACCACTTCAGTGACCCGAAATCCACTATTTACCAACAATAGCTAGTAATAGCAATTTTTGGTCACATAATTAAGCAGCACTTTCTTTCCCTGATTCTTTAAGAAAAACTAAGTAAATTTATTTCAATGAAGACTATTTTAAGCCTTAAGTCAACATTAAATGTCTTGTTATTAATTATAAACCAGTATACTTCAAGAGTATACATTTCTGTATATAAAAGTAGTGTTTCATAACTGTCTGTATTTCTAAGTTAACATATGTTTATATAGATAAAATACTTAAGAAGCATAAACCAAAATATTTTATGAAATTATTTTTATATTAGCTAAGTATAAGTTTATTGCTGTATAAATTTGTTTACCACTTGGTAGTAAACAATGAACATTTATCTTAACAGTTTCTGAGGTTCCAGAATTTAGGAGCAACTTACCTGAGTGGTTCTACCTTAGATTCTTTTATAAGGCTATAGTTAAGATTTTGGTTATAGTTGCAGTGATCCGAAGGCTTCACTGGAGCAGGAGGACAAGCTTCTAAAATGACTCACTTACATGCCACTGCAGGAGTCCTCAGTGTTTCATTGGCTTTTAGCAGAGTGCTTCATTCCATTGCCACATAGACTTCTTTTTGGTGTTACTTAAGTGCCCTCACTTAATATGATGGGAAGATTGCATGAGGCCAGGAGTTCAAGCCCAGTCTGGGCAACGGAACAAGACTCTGTCTCTAAAAAAAAAAATTTTTGTTTAAACAATTAGCCAGATGTGGTGATGCACACCTGTAGTCCCAGTTATTTGAGAGGCTGAGGTGGGAGGATCACTTGAGCCTAGGAGTTTGAGACTGCAGTGAGCTGTGATCACACCATTGTACTCTAGCCTGGGTAATAGAGTGAGACCCCAATAATTAGTCAGTGGAGAAAAGAACGTACTGAACATAAGAGTTGTTAACATTTGTAGACTCCTGATAATTTTTAAGAAATGACTTTCCAAATGGCTGTTAATTTTCATAGTTTTTGAGGGGATCTGTCACATCACAGTATTGAAAGCCTTGATTTTTGTTATACCTAATTCTTTCTGCCAATTTAAAAAACAAAGATAGTTTCTTTTTTTTAATTATTATTTGTTTTTCTTTTGAGACAGGGTCTCTGTCATCAAGGCTGGAGTGCAATGGTGTGATCTCAGCTCACCACAGCACCCAACTCTTGGGCTCAAGCAGTCCTCCCACCTCAGCCTCCCAGGCAGGTGCATGCCATCACACCCAGCTAATTTTTGTATTTTTTTTAGAGATGGGAGTTTTGCCATGTCATCCAGGCTGGTGTCAAACTCTTGAGCTCTAGTGATCAGCTCGCCTCAGCTTCCCAAAGTGCTGAGACTACAGGCATGAGCCACTGTGCCTGGCCAAAGATGGCTTCTTATTTGTATTTATTTGATAAGTAGTTACAGGGAAATTTTTTATTTCAATATGACTTTATTTATTTTTAGCTTAGATTCAGGGGGTGCATGTGGAGATTTGTTACATGGGCATATTGTGTGATGCTGAGGTCAGAGCTTCTAATGATTCTGTTGTCCAAGTAGCAAACATAGTACCTGATAGGTAGTTTTTCAACTCTCGTGGCTCCCCTTTCTCCCTCTCCATCCCCTTTTGGAGTCCCCAGTGTCTACTCACATATTTGTGTCCCTGTTTAGCTCCCACATAAGTGAGAACATGCAGCATTTAATTTTCTGGTTTTGTTAGTTCACTTAGAATAATGACTTCCAGCCAAGCCCATGTTGCTGCAAAGGACACAATCTCATTCTATCAATCAATGTGTAGATTGATTTCGATCTGTACATATTGTGTAGTATTCCATGGTATATATGAGTCACATTTTCTTTATTCAGTCTACCATTGATGGCACCTAGGTTGATTCCATGTCTTTGCCATTGTGAGTAGTACTGTGATAAACATGAGTGCAGGTACCTTTTTTGGTAGAATGATTTATTTTTCTTTGGATATATACCCAGCAATGGACTTGTTGAGTCAAATGGTAATTCTGTTTTTAGTTCTCTGAGAAATCTTCAAACTGCTTTTCACAGTGGCTGAACTAATTTTCATTCCCACTGTGTTTAGGCATTCCCTTTTTCTCTGCAACCTTGCGAGCATCTGTTATTTTTTGACTTTTTAATAATACCAATTCTGACTAGTATGAGATGGTATCTCATTGTGTTTTTGATTTGCATCTCTCTGATGAGTAGTGATATTGAGCATTTTTTCATGTTTGTTGGCTGCTTGTATGTCTTCTTCTTAGAAGTGCCTATATCCTTTGCTCACTCTGTAATGGGTTTGTTTTTGTCTTCTTGATTTGTTTATGGAACATTTTTCTATGTTTATTAGCCAGTTATGGTTCTTTTCTGAATAAGTATTTTTCTGTAACATCGTGTAGTGCTCCTGAGGAAAAAAAAAAGTCACAGTGTGAATCTTTACCCACTATTCTGTCCTTCCAAGTGGGAGAGGCATGCTAACACTGCTTCCTATCCACTATCTGGAAAACAGCAACAACAACAAAAACATTGTCACCACCTTTTTTTTTTTTCAACTTTTAAGAGTATGTGTAGGATGTGCAGGTTTGTTACATAGATAAACGTATGCTATGGTGGTTTGCTACACAGATCATCCCATTGCCTAGATATTAAGCCCTGTGTCCCTTAGCTATTCTTCCTGATGCTCTCCCTCCCCATACCCCCCACCCCCAACAGACCACAGTGTGTGTTGTTTCTGCCATTTTGTCCATGTGTTCTCATCATTCAACTCCCACTTAAAAGTGAGAATATGTGGTGTTTGGTTTTCTGTTCCTATGTTAATTTGCTGAGGATAATGGCTTCCAGCTCCTTCCGTGTCCCTGCAAAGGACATGATTTCATTCCATTTTATGGCTGTATAGTATTCCATGGTGTATATGTACCACATTTTCTTTATCCAGTCTGTCATCGATGGGCATTTAGGTTGATTCTATGTCTTTGCTATTGTGAATAGTGCTGCATGAACATACACATTCTGTATCCTTGTAATATTTAACGGAATGGTTTATATTCCTTTGGGTATATACCCGGTAATGGAATTGCTGGGTCAAATGGCAATTTTGTTTTCAGTTCTTTGAGAAATCTCCAAACTGCTTTTCATAGTGGCTGACCTAATTTTTATTCCCAATGTGTTTAAGCATTCTCTTTTCTCTGCAACCTCGCCAGCATCTGTTCTTTTTTGACTTTTTAGTAATGGCCATTCTGACTGGCATGAGATGTTATCTCATTGTGGTTTTGATTTGCATTTCTCTAATGATCAGTGATGTGGAGCTTTTTCCTCATATTTGTTGGCCACATGTATATCTTCTTTTGAGAAGAGTCTGTTTATGTACTTTGTCCACTTTTTAATGGGGTCGTTTGTTTTTTTCTTGTAAATTTAAGTTCCTTGTAGACTCTGGATATTAGACCTTTGTCAGATGGATAGATGGGAGAAATTTTTTCCCATTTCATAGATTATGTGTTCTCTCTGATGATAGTTTCTTTTGCTGTGCAGCAGCTCTTTAGTTTAATTAGTAATATAGCCCATTTGCCAATTTTTGCTTTTATTACAACTGCATTTGGCATTTTTGTCATGAAATCCTTGCCCATGTCTATGTCCTGAATAGTATTGGCTAGATTCTCTTCTAGAGTTTTAATAGTTTTTGGTTTTACATTTAAGTTTTTCATTCATCTTGAGTCAGTATTTGTATAAGGTGTAAGGAAGGGGTCCAGTTTCAGTTTTCTGCATATGGCTATCCAGCACTTCCAGCACCATTTATTAAATAGGGAACCCTTTCCCCATTGCTTGCTTTTGTCAGTTTTGTTGAAGATCAGATGGTTGTAGATGTGTGATCTTATTTCTGAGTTCTCTGTTCTGTTCCATTGGTCTATGTGTCTGTTCTTATATCAGTACCATGCCATCTTGGTTACTGTAGCCTTGTATGTTTTGAAGTTGGGTGGCATGATACCTCCAGCTTTATTCTTTTTTCTTAGGATTAGCTTTACTATTCGGGTTCTTTTTTGGTTCCATATGAATTTTAAAATCACTTTTTCTAAATATATGAAGAATGTCAATGTTAGTTTAATGGGAATAGCTTTGCATCTATAAATTACTTAGGGCAGTATGGCCATTTTCATGATGTCGATTCTTCCTATCCATGAGCATGGAATGTTTTTCCATTTGTTTGTGTCCTCTTTGATTTCCTTTGAGCAGTGGTTTGTAATTCTCCTTGAAGAGATTCTTCACTTCCCTTGTTAGCTGTATTCCTAGGTATTTGATTCATTTTGTAGCAATTGTGAATGGGATGGCTCTGCCTACTTGTTGTTGGTGTTGGTGTATAGGAATGCTAGAGATTTTTGCACATTGATTTTGTATCCTGAGACTTTGCTGAAGTTGCTTATCAGCTTAAGAAGCTTTTGGGCTGAGATGATGGGGTTTTCTAGATACAAGATCATGTTATCTGCAAACAAAGATAATCTGACTTCCTGTCTTCCTATTTGAATATTCTTTCTTTCTTTCTCTTGCCTGATTGCCCTGGCCAGAACTTTCAATACTGTGTTGAATAGGAGTGGTGAGAGAGGGCATCCTTGTGTTGTGCCAGTTTTCAAGGGGAATGCTTCCAGCTTTTGCCCATTCAATATGACATTGGCTGTGAGTTTGTCATATAT